AGGAGATCTGGTCGCACTAAATAAGCACTAATGGATTAGTCAGTCTTGTACACTGTCACTAGAATACAGTATTCAAAATGCCATAGCCATGGTGACAGTAGAGTACGTCAGAATCTACATGGCATTTCAGTACTGTTCAGTTTGACAGATTCAAGTTTTGGGGACAAAAATCATACATACTCAGAACCATGTGTATCTACAGCAAATTTCATTTCATTTAATCCTTTCAGACACGAAAAACAGAACATTGCTGGCTTCATGCATCTGTTAAAGCGACGGCTTTTGCTTAACAAGACACAGGTGACCATTGCATAAATGTTTGTCACAGCTTTATTCAGACTTAACAGGAACCTTGTGAAAAGAGCCACACTGTTTGCCACCTGGTGCACGAGAGAGAGCAGTGACACTGCAGGAAAGTCGTCTTTCACAGGCTGCTTCAGCAGTGCAATTCGAAGGTTATTTTGCCATTGAAGCTTTAAACCATTGCCTATCGTGAGTGTGAGGGATACACATACACGGTGAGGTCCTTATAAATATTAGATAGCACATTGTGTTGCCTATTTCATAACAGTACCCACAGTACATAGCATAGCAAAGCATAAAATGACAATACTTGAAGATGGGGCTCGTTCAAAAATTCAGGGAGAGTGTCCTGGTCTGATTATTATTGAAAAGCCAGCTATTCCCACTGCACTTATAAGCATTGTGACATGAATTAGCAACCGACTTAAAATTGGTTTCCTGGCTTATTAACACACTTATATTTTCTTTGTACATAAGATGTGATAATTAAGCAATGAATTAATAACACTGCTCTTTTTAATCAAGCAAACAAGACATGTAATCACTTTACCTTGTACTGTTACAGCCTTTATATTAATCTTAACAGCATTTAATTCAGGCTTTTGCTGTTACAGAAACATTACTTGGTCCAACCTCGTAACATTGCGTCATGACTTCCACATATAACTGGCTCAGGTGCTCATTCACACATTAGACCGATATGTAAAATTGCAATTAATGTAACGAGGCGCATGTCTGAAAAGGGTCATTAGCCAAAGTGTTGATCAAGCGGAAAGTTCAACCTTACAGTGGTGACAGCAGAAAGGTCAAGTAACCAAATTAATCATGCCGGCATGTTGAATTAAAAGCTACCCCTGTGGACTTTTCAGTAGCACTGCCCCTGAAAAATACAACACCTGAGTCTTCTTCCAGTGCTTCTGTTTCATCTCATCTTCACACTCCAGTCTCATTTGAAACAAATCACTGCTGCTAATGCTTTAAGACTGATAGTCTGGCATATTTAACCTCCTAAGACCCGAACTCTTGCATGGCGTGCATTTTTAATTTCTCTTTGCTATTTAGGCTGATTGGGACCTGATGAGTGTAACAACAAAGAATTATGTTTTTACATGATGTAGTTTCTGAGAAAAATGATGTCCACATATGAGGACATTCGTCTTCAATTTAGATAGAAACCAATAAAGTCACAGTTGAGTAATTATGTAAAACTATTTATTTGGTGCCAGAACACAGCAGCATTTTCCTGAGTGCAAAAACAAAATGAGACGGAACAATTGTGCCCCTTTGAGCAATATGGCTCATTTGAAGTACTGTAAAACA